TTGCCCTGCCCCCCAGCTCTTAGCTCCCCCCTGGGTTTCCGGTCACTCTCAGTGGCAGGGGGCTTCTTCCTGCTTTCCCTTTCACCTCCCTGCATTGTGCCTACATATGCAAATTAACCTCCATCTTTGTTGTCAGTTAACTGCCATCTGAGTTGGCAGTTAATTTGCATATCCCCCTGATTAGCCAATGAAAAGGGTAGCGTTGTACGCCAATTACCATTTTTCTCTTTTATTAGTGTAGATTGCATGCCTCTATTTCATTTAGTTGATTTTTTGGTGATTCCTCCTTTCATTTCTTTGGGGGGTTATTTCTTTATCTCCCAATTTTGGCTCTCATTCTGGCCCTGGGCACAGTGGTTGTTCCACGAGGGTTATGGTTGGCAAGCAGCATCCTCTAAGCATCCTCTGCCCTTCTTTTTTGAAAATTATCTCCTCAGCTATGTCTAATTTATTAATTGAGGGTGGATGTACTCTGATTTAGTTGCTTTTCTGGCCTGGCCCTAGAAGGAGGTGAATGACACTGTTGTCTGTTCACTTCCCATTTTCTGCATTCAAGAAACATCTTAGCTAACATCATATTTTGCCATCATCAAATTCCATATTGTAGATAACCACATGGTGAAGGGCCTGTTATCTTCAACAAGAACAAGAACAACAACAACAAAATTAAGAAAAAATGTAGAGAGGGAAGGGATTAGAGTTTTTAAATGATTGACTGAATTGGTAGATTTTGAAGATAGGTGATGGATACATTTTATTTATTATGTTAATGCCTCTGCTTGGATCTAGTTTAAAAATTGTATCAGTAAAAATTAAATAAAATGAATAGTATGCCTTTATTATAATATATGCTGAAACTATTAGCAAAGTAATTTTAAAAGAGTGATTTATTAAACTATCTTGTAAATTAGGTAATTTTTTTTCAGTTTTGAATATCTAATTATATTGTATATGGTCAGAGCTAATAAGAGATTAAAGCCCGACCTGATTTCATATATGAATTTTTACTATGAATAAGTGATACTAAATTTTATGAGCATGTTTGTGAGATTTACTTCTAAAATAAAGAGGAAATGCTGTCAGAGATCACCCATAACCTCTACTTTTCCCTGTATATGCCATATCTTACCATTTAAAGAAGTATATACACAAATATGTATTTTGTCTTAAATTTCATATATATGAAGCAAGCATTTTATGGTGTTTATGTCCACACACATAAAGAGGGACAGAGTGAAAAGGAGTGGATTGAGGCTTTAAAATTAATGACTTCCAGAATAGTGTCTTTCTACATAAAGATAAAGAAATGTGAAAGAATCTTAAGTAAATAAATATTAAAGATTATCTAACCCTTTTTTATGTGTATGTGTGTGGAGGGGGGTGTTGTGTTTTAGTAATGGATGATTTTTTGTTGTGTCACTTTAGTTTTGAAATCCATTGGTGTTTTTTTCCAAAATTCTTGCAACATTTGGATATTAAACTAGAAATATATACATAAAACAAGCATAATAAACAGCCAAATGTCATACTTCTGTTAATAGTATAAGAAAAGGACAATTCCTCTTATAATTTATGACTAGACTTAGAAAGAATTCCAAAAGAAAGCATTGAATAATTAACACTGCAAATTCTCTAATTCTTTTAGCAAAGCTTATTTCACAGTTTTGCTTCAATGTTCACCAGCTGTAGAGAAGGCAATTCAAACTTCTTAAATTAATCCCAGCTGCAGTGCTTGCAACACAATTAACACGTTTAAAAGTGATAAATATATGTTAAAAAAACAACAATTTGGGGTCAATTTAGAATGAGCTGTCAGAAAGTCGGAGATTGCCTAAATCCTTTTCATTTTTTCCTGTCTGTTAATTGTAAATTTTCCTAATCAGTTTGGATCAGAGGATAGGTTTTAAATTACTGAACTATTAATACTACTTTCAAATATGTGTGTTTTCTTTAAGCTCAAGGTAAAGGATATATTTCTTAATTTCATAGAAATTGGAAGATATTGGCTTATTCATTTTGACATTCCAGAGAGAAGAGAGAGGGGTAATTATGGTACAGTTATCCAGAAAAATACTTCTTAGACAAATAGTTATAAATAATATACATGGCTGCTATGTTAGACACTGTCTCCATCATCCACATACCATACGATTTTCTGACTACACAATCTTTACAGTAGGAATAATTGAAAGGCAGTAGGAAATAATCAGGAGGTTTTAAGAAGTGGTAGTTGGATGATCTGTACACATAGGACTGGTTTGGGGTCAACTCTATGTTCATTTTATCATTTTATCCTCACAATAACCATGTGTGTATTATTATTTCCATTTTTATGCTTGAGGAAAGTGAACCTCATAATAATGATTTTCCTAATTGGAAGCACCAACAAGCATTGCTAATGAAAACACGCATACGGTAGTTATTTACCTCAATGGTGTACAATGATACAAAACATTTTACAATTATATCACTCTATATATAGAAGTCATATAATAGGCTTCTTTTTTGGTCTTCATAAAATAAGTGAAAGATACAGTTGAAATAATAGTACCACCTTTATTTGAGGTAATTTAGAACCTTTATTTGTGGTGGTGGTTGTTCATATTATAATGGCTTGAATTAGAGATGTGGCAAATAGTTAAGACAAGACCTGCCTGGTGATGAATTAGATACAAGGGAACAAAATATAGAAGTAACAGCACTGTCACTGAGATTGGGAGTTTAGGTGTCTTGGAAAATGTTGATCGAATAATGATAGCAGCAGCAAGTTTACAGGAAGAAATGGTGTTTCAAATTTTAACATGACATTTTATCTTTGGAATGCCTTTTAAAGGAAATATTAAGAAAATGAATGCTTAGCACAATAATTCATCACACATTAAATTCATATATGTTGGTCAATTACTTGAATTCAAACTAAAGACAATTTAGAAGATGAAATTAGGAGGAGGGAAAACACTTTAGCTGGTATAATTAAAGATCTAAGAAAATGTGATGAAAATAATATAACATGATAAAGTTATTTAAACACATAATTATAGATATGATTCTTAGGATATAAATTAAAGAGATTTAGTATTTTGCCATATACTATTTATAACAGTAAGAAAACAATCACTAACTCTAGGTGATTGTAAGAATTAAGTAAACCCATGGATGAAGTATTCTGATGGAAAATAAAATCTTAGCAAAAAGAGAAATTTATATTAATTTTGAAAATTATATGATAAAAGTATATATTAACTGGAGTTTGCCAAATTATGTGATGAAAACCAAAACAACATATACACTATTAAATTTTTACAATAATATGTGTCAGGCACTTTTCTAATTTCTGTATAGGATTGCTAATGCTTCTACAGCCTCAGAAAGCAAATACTATTATTTTAATTCTATATAATAAAGAGGTAATATGCAAATTGACCATCACTTCGACACACAAGATGGCCACCCCCATGTGGACACAAGATGGCCGCCACAAGATGGCCTGCAGGGGAGAGCAGTTGTGGGTGATCAGGCGAGCAGGGGAAGGCAATTGGGAGGGATCAGGTCTGAAAGGGAGGACAGTTGGGGGTGATCAGGCCTGCAGAGAAGGCAGTTAGGGTGACCAGGCTTTCAAGGGAGGTAAGTTATGGGTGATGGGTCCAGCAGGGGAGGGCAGTTGGGGGTGACCAGGCTGGCAGGGAAGGGCAGGTAGGGGCAACCAGGCTGGCAAAGGAGGGCAGTTAGGGGTGACTAGGCCTTCAGGGGAGGACAGTTAGGGGTGACCGGGGGTGACCAGGCTGGCAGGGAAGGGCAGTTGGCTGTCAAGGGAGGGAAGTTATGGGTGATGGGGCCAGCAGGGGAGGGCAGTTGGGGGTGACCAGGCTGGCAGGGAAGGGCAGTTAGGGGCAACCAGGCTGGCAAAGGAGGGCAGTTAGGGGTGACTAGGCCTTCAGGGGAGGACAGTTAGGGACAATTGGGCTGACAGGGGAGCAGTTAGGCATCAATCAGGCTGGCAGGGGAGTAGTTGGGAGCCAGCAGTCCCAGATTGGAGAGGGTGCAGGCTGGGCTGAGGGACACCCCCACACACACACGAATTTCATGCACCAGGCCTCTAGTTGTACAATAACTTCAGATAAACTAAGTGCCTTGCTCATGGTGATGCTCCAGATGAATTGTGGAGCTGAAACTCAAACTCCTCATTCCAAAGCTTATTCAATTCTACTTCATATGATTTTCCAGTATATCAGATTCATTTAGAAATGAAGACAAACAGTGAATAATATGGCTGTTTTGTGGAAATAAAATCTTTATTAAAAATTAACAAGGAAGACACATTCCATCAGCAAAATTCTCCCCCTTTAGTTTTCATGATATTATTTATAGTTATTATACATCCTTCTCCGAACATATGAGTTTCTTTAGCTGTTGCTTTTCATCTCTAATTGTTAGAATACCACATTATTTCAACATCTGCTTCTACTTCCTCATTCACATTCAGGGTTTCACTAACTGTTAATTTCCTCTTACTACCTACTATCTCCAAATCTGTGTCCTCAGGAATTTTTATAAGTATAAAGTTTTATGTCAGAAATTGTCCCATTAGCCACTCAGCTGATGGTATAATTATTGACACAGTCATTAAAGCTAGAGATATTGGGCCATTCATTTTTCCCCTTCATTCCCTACATCAAATTAGTCTTTGTCTTTCAGTTCAAAAATGTTCATCTGTCTTTTTCATTTCTACACTTACCAAACAACCTTAGTTTAACTTCTTAAAATATTTCAAACCAATAATCTCAATAGCAATTAGCTATTTTTCTTACCATTAGATTTCCTCCCTTTAATCTTCACTGCCTCCTAAAAACATTTTGTCTACAATATAATGCTTTAAAAATTTAGATTTAGTTACTCCCTATGATTAGAAAACCTACAGTTTTACAATTATATTATGCATATCCCAGTATTCCATAGACATGGCTTAAATGAAGTTATACCTTCTATAAAGAACTTTTGCCACCTGAGGTCCTTGCATTTCTTTGCCAATTTTTCATAGCTTCCCATAATGCAAATTTTATTTTTCCAAGTAAAATCTAAGGCAGAGATCCATGAACTTTCTCAATTCGAAGTGATGTTGGTGACTCAGAAATTTCTCACAATGCTAGGCAATAAATAAATAGAAAGATAATCATAACCTGTAAAATTATTTATTAAAAAGATAGGGATAAACAACTCATTAAAGTTTGTGTTCTAACAATTTAGTAGCTATTTGAAAAAATAAAATGAAAAGATTAATGTTTTAATTTAATTTTTCAAATATCCACAATTGCTCACTAAGATGATATCTGTGTCAACTGATACTGCACCCTTTCTTATAATTAAATTCAGATTGCTCACTACCATGTTTGTTTTCTGTTTAACACTGACTTTGCTTAGTAATTGCTTTTTCTTACAACTAACTCTGTAAATCTAACTTTGCAAAGATGTGATGCTATCAAAAGAAAGGCAGTGTGATCTAACATTGAAGC